TCCATGGGAAAGTACTCACCATTTTTAGTCAGAAGGAAAGGCAAATTAATTTCATAGTGCTAGATAATTGTCCTCATATACCTACTTGAATGGTAAAGGAGGACAGATAGTGCTTGCAAGGCTATGAGCAACTATCGTTCTCCTACACTAATGGTACAATCAATTTAGAAAAATGGAACATTCCTGGATCTTATGACGAATTAAGTTTTTTTTCTAGAATATATCCCACAAAACAAACTGTGTACTGGAGTTCATTATGCAGCCTATTTGTAAATAGCCAGAACTTAGAAATTATGCAAATAAGGTTGCTGTGAGTTGAAATCTACTCGTTGGCAATCAGTCATCAGTAATGCGAGGGTAAGTCAAAAGGAAAGTACTGCTACAAGGGTTCTAGTAACTACATACACAGGCTTACTTAAAGCAAAAAGTCTGAAACACGTCACTGTGATCAATGGACAGTTAGTTCTCTCAGTAATAGTCTTAGTTAATTCATTAATCACCTTAAAAATAAAGGTCCAACCAAAACTTGCTTCCAAGGGGATCTGCGGGGCCAGTTAAATTCAAGGCAGAGAGTTAAAATTGTGCTATATCAATGTGCTCATCTACCTACTGGGTTTGGGGATCCCAGAGAGGTTATCTTGATAGAGTTTCTTGAAGAACACCTCACAAGGACTTATTATGAAGGGCTTTTAAAAAATTGAAAACTATATCAAGTTGGTCCCTACTCTTGGTGATCCTGTGTACAACAGAATGAAACACTCCCCAGTCCTGCACCATCCTTACAACTTGCCCGTACTAACTCCTACTCCCCAAATAAAGCGTTTTTGCATACACTTCTCACACTTGCTGAGCCCCATACAACAAAGCTTTAGCTCAAAATGTCAAAAATATTGAAGTTGAAAAACTGATTTCTCTCCCCCCAAAAGAATTCAGAGGACAGCACTGGAGCTACAGCTCAGGGAGAGGGACGTGTCTGATCAGAGCACACGGGAGCAAATGAAGGGAGAGGAAGAGAGAGTGGA